AATATATGGAGGAAATTTTATATACCACAAAATTTTCTAATTCAATATACTTATATTTTTTTAATTTTGAGGATGAAATATAATTTTTTTTATAAAATTCAAAATACAAAGGTAAATTAAATTAAATTATAAAATATATATTTATAAATTTATCAGGTTAAACCGATGTACTGCTAAAAACACATGCATGCAAGATGAAAAATGATTTTGTTTCAATGTAAATGTACTTGGTTTTAATGAACACCTGCTTTTATTTGATTTTAATGCAATTAGGGTTTTCTTGTCACTCAGAATCATTCTTCCCCAAGTGCTTTCTTTCATGGATACAACATTTAAGCCAAAGATTTGAAGCTAAGTTCCATTTATTCACTCGTTGCCCTACAAGTAAAAAGACATGGATAGCCCTCTCACCGCCCAATAGAACGCTGTTCAGCTAATTAGTTATTTCCTTCCTGGAGGCAATGAAGCTTCACAAAATCTCTCACTTATTAGAGTTCCAAATTTTTATTTCATGTTTTTATATTTATTTCATAATCATTTATTATTGGAAAAATAACAGTGCATTCGTGACCATTAATTCTTCATAATAAAGTATGATAATATTGCTTAACTTGTCTTTAAAAAGTAATGAAGGATAGATATTAGAAAATAGATTAATCAGATATTGAAAAAAACTACATGGTCTTGGAAAAACACCACAGATGTATAATCAAAAATATTGTTCACCGAAATAATATGATGATAATTTTTCTCATCCATCCAAGAAATTTAACATTAGCTTAAGAACATTAAAGGGTTTTATATATATATCCCATTAATTATTATCAAATTAACTTAATATAAACAAAGCTTTTTACAGCGTCAGGGGAGGAATCCAAGCTTTTAAGCAATATATGTGGTAGCTCTTAACGTCCAAAAATATTTTTATATTATATTACTAAAAGTATTGTTATATTGTTTTTTAGTGAAGTTAATCCGGTATGTCACTTGTGAGTCTTTATTTTTATCTTTTTGTTTCTTAAAAAATTATAATTTTTTTTTGTTAATATTTTTACTTTACTCCCAATTTTTTTTTTTTTTAATTTTTTTCTTAATACTTTTGTAAAAAAATTATTTTTTTTAATTTTATTATTTCATCCCAATTTGTTATACACATGTGTGGCAGTTCAACTTAATCCTTATTCCTGCGATTATATGTTTCGGGCTTTGTAGAATTTTTTTATCATTTTTTTAGTTAATTTTTATTTTTAATTTTACCTTTAAATTAGAAAAAATTATTTTGTATTTTAATTTTAATTCTTATTTTTTTAATTATTATTTTTTTAGATTCTTTTTGTGTGATTTATATTTTTTTCCAAGTTAATCTTTAATATTTAATTGATTGAGAATTAAGTTTTGTGATTTTTTTAGATATAATGTTTCCAATGTAATGTGTAAATTCACATTATTGAAAAGTCAATGCAAGTTAATCTTAATTTATTTTTTCTATTAGGTTATTCCAATCTCATGATTTTGGTTGTGGATTTGATAAGTTAACTTGAGTTGATTAACCTTTTATTTTCTAAGTTACAAGTTTGTCATGCTAATCCAGATTACTCAAACTAGGTTTTTTTTATTTAATTATATTCTTTTATATTTAATAAGCTAAGAATTTAGGTATATATTTTGTTTCTGTTTATAAAAAAATTATTTTAGATTAATATTACCAATAATTTTTTTTTAATTTAATCCATTTGCTATCATTATATATTTTTTTTATTATTCAGTTAAAATAAAACTAACTTATTTGATTTAATTATAATTACGATCCAGGTCACATTTTTTTTTAATATGTTTGTACTATTTAAAAATTATTTTTGTGTAAAAAAACAATAATTCAACTGAGAAGTGAATCTAGACTGTAAGACCGGTAACTTGTTACTAAAAACCAATGAGTTTTCAAGAAAAATTAAAATATTTCGGAAACAATTTAATTCTAAATAATATTTTAATCTTAATTTTAATGAATTATTATATTCAATACAACTTTCAGTTTAAGTTATGAAGAAAAAACTCTCTCTAAAAAAAATCATTTTCTAAGAAAATTCCACAACCTTTCTTCGTCAGCATTTCCACAGCCGTCCCATCTCCGCGCCGTCATCTTTGACTCTCTCCTTTCTCTTCCCACCCACACGCGTCAGCGCTTTAAAAGTTCAAACTTTAAATGGTTAAGAATCACCCTAGTCCCTGAAGTTTTAAAATTTGATCAAGATAACCATGTATTTTTAACTTTTATCAATTTGATGCATTTATTTCCCATCCATAATGGATCGAGCCCTTTCAGTTTTTTATTTAAAAGGAAATCAAAGTAAAAACTACCCTAACACGAGTGCAACACCCATAGGTACCTATAGATTGATCTAGAAAAGAGACTTGAGTCATCAAATCTAATTATATGCTTTAAATCAATCCAGGCTAATTATTTTTTTTAAAAAAACATTGTTTTATTTATAAAAAAATAATAAAGTTAACTCGGTCTAGTTTGAATTATATTTAATTGGATCAATTAAATTATTAAAAACTTAATATTATTTCCAGGTTAATTTAAAAACTTGATATACATCAAACTTTAGAATAAGTTTCTTGATTTAGTTTATTGGTTGAGTTGGATTTAATACTATTATAACAACCATAAAATCAAAAATTAAACTAATATTAATAGATGAAGGAGGATTTTCAAGAACATCACCATTTATAATACATTTCCATTTTTTATGTGTTAGGTATTCCAATAAAATTAAATGTGGCATGGTGCTGAGAAAGCTCAAATTATTCATGTGGTTAACTAATTTTCCAATCTTCGACAAGTATCATAAACTTGTCGCTGTTGAATGTCAACCAGGAGTTGACGTTCCTGAATATATCTAATTATAGATTCTTCCTGACAATTGTCAAAATGGTAAACATCAAATAAATAAGTGGTGATTAGGATTAAAATTTGGCTAATTCAGTTAAAAACTGATGAATATAGTTGACAGAACGCTGACATTGACGTATTGTACTGATCGATTCTGTATTTTAAAAGGGTTTTTTTTTTTAAATAAATTTTTATTTATTTTAAATTAATATATTTTTAGTATTTTTAAATTATTTTGAATGACTAATATTAAAAATAATTTTTTTAAATAAAAAATATTAATAACATGTATTTTATTACAAAAAATTATTTAAAAAACAACCACAATCACACTGTCAAACCAGCTATAACATTATTAACTCATGCTTTTATTAAATCAAATTCCAGACATTAGCGTTCAATATTATAGTTTGTTTTTGTGTTTTAAAAAAAATTAAAGATTTTTTTATTTTTTATTCACTTCAAATTAATATATTTTTAATATTTTTAAATTATTTTAATATATTAATATTAAAAATAATTTAAAAAACAATCACAACAATATTCTCCGATAAACTAATTTTAACAAGTGTTCTCGGTTCTTCACCCACCTATGATGACAAGTCCCCTTCATTTTCAAAAACCCCGTCGTTTCTTATCAACACATGGTGGAAACCTTATAATTCTTTGTAATCATTTCTTTGATATTATTATTATTATTATTATTATTTTAGATTAATATAAGTGTCTAAACTAACTTGCGCGTATCACGACTAATCTCACGGGTCCTAAAGTTAACGATCATATAAGCTTCTAGTTGCTATCAAATGAGCAACTAAGAACTTAAACTTGAGACTACAAAGAAAATAAACTTTTTGATTTTAAATTCTTATCACTTAACCACCACCTAAATGGTTTTATGGTTTTATTATTTAGTTTGCTAGCATCATAGATAAATCATTTCTTATAATACTTGCCACAATGTTAAATTATTCACTAAGAAGATATATCATGTAAACATTGTAAGCTACTTCTGTTTCTCAGTAGATAACCCTTTGTTTTTTCATCTGTATAATCATTTGTTCTCTCTACATCATGCACTTATTTTTATCATACTATGTGTCAAATCAAATAATTGATGAATTCTATTTCCACATTAACAAAAAGAAATTCTGAATTAAGGGAAAAATAGTCAATATTGGTAATTCAATTTAATTCCACATGTATTTCTAACATAATAATATAATTTAATTATGTATTTTAGTATTTTGAACATAATAATTGTAATAAATTATCAACTAAATTCAAATATACCTGAATTTAATTCCACAGGTGATTTGATTCCAAATATAATATTCATGTGTTTTTTGATAATTATTTTACATTATTATTATTTTCTAGTTTTATTGCCAACATAGCAATTAACTTAGCATGCATGATTCATACTTGATTTTACAGCCATGCTTCACCTAACTTGCACCTATTATATAATTAACATGTGTACAATTAAACACTTAGTTATCAAACCTAAACTAGTAAGGGGATTTACTTGATGATCAAGAGTCTAGCACAAGTTAGGTTTATTATTGAATCATTTAAAAAAAATACTTGATAAGCTTGGCTGATAAAATAGATCAACACCTAATTTAATTTACCTTACCAAGTTAACTTTATAAAAAAAAATTAATTTTTTTTATCTAAAATAACGTTATTTTATTTTTTTAAATCATTAAAATGAAGATTGACTTATGATTCACCCATTAAGAATCTAATAATTATGCTATTTTTTTTTAATCATAAACTACATTTTACAAAATTAAATTTTTTTTGCTTGAAATAAATTTATTTTAATATTTTTGGATTATGCTAATATCTAAAATAATTTTTTTTTAAAAAATATTTATATATATATATATTTAAATAAAAATATTTTAAAAAACAACTATAATTATACTCCCAAACACTTTATTAATACTTTATTAATGTATACAAAGATTACTTTAGTTGTTGATGAATTAATGGAGAAACGAAGGATATAAGTTGATGAAAAGTAAAGGATAGGGTCTAATTTAACCAAAAACTAATACATATATGACCTCATACGTGTTTTTTAAAGACTTACAGTGCGACAGTGTGCATCCTTTTTTCTCCTCGTCTTCCAGCCCTCACTGAGAGAAGACAAATTGACCAAGGCACAGAAAAACCAGAAATTTATTTATATCCACACGCTTGTCCGTCTCCCTCAGCGAAGTATATAATGGCCACAGCTAGTTTCAGACCTTTTCTCTCTGCCCCTGCAAAACGCCCCAGAAGTTCTACTACTATCATGCCCGACCCCAACCCGAATTACCCAAACGGATACTCTGCTAACAAACGCTCAAAACCCCAGCCTTCTGCTTCAGCTGCTCCGTTACCCGTCCCTTCGGGACATGTATCCTTCCGTCTTCTCTGCCACGCCTCGAGAATCGGAGGCGTAATAGGAAAGGCCGGAAACATAATAAAAGGCTTACAACAACAAACCGGAGCCAAGGTTCGGATAGAAGATGCTCCGTCCGATTCACCGGATCGGGTCATAACGGTGATCGGTCCGATTACGCAATCGGCGGTAGTATTTAGTGGAATTGAGAGTGCAGTTGAGGTTTCAAAGGGGCAGGAGGCTTTGGTTAGGGTTTTTGAGAGGATTTTAGAGGTGGCGGCGGAGAGTGATTCGGTGGCGGATGGGGTGGTTTCTTGTAGGATGTTAGCGGAGGTGAGTTCGGTTGGGGCAGTCATTGGGAAAGGAGGGAAAGTAGTGGAGAAGATGAGGAAAGATTGTGGGTGTAGAATTAAAGTTTTGGTTGATAAATTGCCTGATTGTGCTGCTTCGAATGAAGAGATGATTGAGGTAACTGTAATCTACAACAGGGTTTTTTTTAGTGCTATTGAATTCAAAGTTTTGATCTTTTTGTGGTTTTGTTATTTTTCTTTTAGAACAATCATTGAGCTTTAAATCCTATTATTGTGATACGGGAACAAATTCATTAGCAGTTGAATGAATTTTATTGTTCTTGTGGGAATGGTTTGATATTTGTAGATCGAAGGGGTGGTTTCAGCAGTAAAGAAAGGACTTGTTGCGGTTTCTCGCTGCCTTCAAGATTGCCAACCGGTTGATAAGACAAGGGTCACCAACAGCAAACCTGCTGAGGCAGTTTCCAGAGTCTCTTTACCTGATGTGCGTGTAGAAATCCATCCACGGCATTCTGCAGTGCTTCCCACCGTAGCACAAAATTCACTAGTGGTACCCACTAAACCACAACATTCTTTAGGGCTCCCCACCGTACCGAAGAGCTCCATTAATTATGCTTCCAGAGTTCATCCTTTGTCATTGGAGTCTGACAGGGTTGCCACACCAGATACAAACATACCACAACAGCAAGTGGTTTTTAGAATTCTGTGTACTACCGATAGGATTGGGGGTGTTATTGGAAAAGGTGGCAACATTGTCAGGGCTCTTCAGAATGAAACAGGTGCTGCTATCAGCGTTGGACCAACGGTGTCTGAGTGTGATGAGCGACTAATAACTGTTACTGCATCGGAGGTTTGACATTATGTATCCTTTTTCATATTCCTATTCATGCTACGGTTATGGTGTTGGAAGCAGTACTAATGATGAATTGCATTGGTATCTTCTCCCGCAGAACCCAGAGTCTCGGTACTCAGCTGCACAAAAGACTACTGTACTTGTTTTCTCGAGGGCTGTGGAGTCTTGCATTGAAAAGGGTCTGGATCCAGGCTCAAGCAAGGGGTCACCTGTTACTGCAAGGCTTGTGGTTTCACCAAGCCAAGTAGGCTGTTTGTTGGGAAAAGGAGGCGCTATAATTTCAGAAATGCGTAAGGCAACCACTACCAGCATAAGAATAATAGTGGGTGACCAGCGTAATCCAAAGTGTGTGCCAGAGACTGATCATGTGGTAGAGGTATGACACAGTCTTTATCAGTTATTTTTTTTAGTTGGTACAATGAATGCACAAGGATACCAAAGACCATGCTTTTTACTTTTTTGTAGGTGGAATTATTTAAATGAATTTGAAGTTTGAACTTCATGCAAGAGTAATGATAAGAGGTCTTCATAACTCGTAAAAATTCTGGATTTTTGAAGTAAAATAACTGTTCAACATTTTGTTCTGATCAACCCCAACTTCCTTTTACTGTTCTGCTTTAACGTAGGCAATTTTCCATTGCCTGTTGAGTTGTTTGTCTAACAGATTTCTGGAGACTTTGTGAATGTGAAAGATGCGATATACCATGTTACTGGAAGACTCCGAGATAATCTTTTCTCCAGCATGCTGAGCACTCCTGGAGCAAGGAGCAATTCTTCTGTATTAGCTGAAATCAGTCCCTATGTGAAATTGATGGATCCTGTGAGGGATTCATCGTGGGAGCCAGTGAGAGATATTTTGAGGGAGCCAGTGAGAGACCCACTGAGGGATGCATTCAGGGATTCATTAAGGGAAACTGTGAGGGATCCTTTGAGGGAGTCAGTGAGGGATCCATTTAGGGAGCCAGTGAGGGATCCATTTAGGGAGCCTGTGAGGGATCTGTTTAGGGAGCCAGTGAGGGATCCACTGCAGGAGCCAGCAAGAGATTGTGCCCCTTATATTATGCAGCCAACAGATGGAAATTCTCATAATCTAAGTCGTCAAACTGTTATAACACAGAATATGGACCATCTTGGACTTTCACATAGTTTAGATCGCCCTCCTTCACCAAGGTTGTGGGCATCACAGGTATTCTCCTCCTCCCTGTTGGATATTAATATTTGTCTGCCCCCCTGTTGGATTATAATTTTTGTCTACTTTGTATTGTTGGGATTGGTTACAGACAATACCTAGAGTAAATCCACGGGGCATATCAGATGTCAGCAGAAGATTGCCTTCTCTTAAAGCTGGCTTAGAGCTTGGCAGGTTAGTAACACATCACTTAATGCAAAAAATATAAGATTGTTTGCCTTGTATTATAAAGCATCTAGTATACAAATTGTTGAATTGAGGCAGTTAGAATAGGAAGAGTTGTACCAAAAATAGCGTTGCCAGGGATTCAATATCAAAATTCCTAGAAACTTCAGCTGGTTAGATATGTGAACGGAAAGAAAGTACTCATGTAACTGGTTGTGACTAGTTGTTTGAGGGTTACTTGACTTGAGTCTCATCATGCTGGCTATTGTTGTTTGTGCAACTTTACTAGAAAGGAACAGGAGAAAGCACCACTGAAAACAATGAATCTTGATCCCTAAAACCTAAGGCATTTTTTTCAACCCAAATTTTATAGGAAATAATTAAGTCACTGCTATTATTTGAAATGTGATTAAGCGTTCTCTCGGAGTGTCATCTAAAGCTGCTGGTCATTTGCACTTTATGAGTTGGTGACTCTTTCCTCTGGTGTGCAGTGGAGGCAAGTCTGCTTTTGTTACAAACACAACCGTAGAGATTGCAGTTCCCGAGAATTCCTTTGGCTCTGTATATGGGGAGAATGGTAGCAATCTAGCTCGTTTGAGACAGGTATGTACCTTTTGGCTGTATTTATCTGTAAAATTTGCTTCCATTGTCCTTGTGTTAATCAAGATAGTTAAATAAGTTACTCATTATGATATATTACTCATTGAATTGAAATTTCTGACTGTCACACTGATAATCCTAGAGGCTATTTAGAAGTTGCTTCTTTTCTTATGGGTCGTTATTTTGAGGGATTGAAAAAAAATGTTGATGCAGTGAACTGAGTTTTCAAAGCATCAAAATAATTTTCCTTTAAGTTTTATTCTCAGTCATCAATTTACATTCTCCTCCTTGGCCAGATAATTCTGATTAATGAGAATAGAAGTATGTTCTGTCCTTAGCTTGCTTGATCATAATTTTATTTCTTTCTTTTTCCCCTTTTAATTTTTGGAAGTCCCCTTTTTTTGCTAGTTTATTGCCAGCTACTCTTTCTTGTCCTGATATATTCATGATGTTTCTATTCTTATGGGTCTCGTATGAATTATCAGCACAATCCTCATGAATTAGTGAACTGATATACATGAATAGGATCAGCCCGACAACTTGAGGCCTACCATTTAGAAAATTTCCTACAAGTTTTGACACATATGGTTTACCTCTATAAAAGTAAAATTTAACCTCGTTATCAGATGTAAAAAGACAGCAACTTGAATAGTACCTGCTGTTGAAGTAAAAAGGACCAACTTCTTGCTATACATTACTGAATTGTGAAACAAGTGAGAAGGCACATTACATTCAGTTTGATACCCATCACCATTATAAACAATCAACTCGGTAGCCAACCACAAACATGATAGAATTGCAATGCCAGCAATGATTCCAAACCAATCTCAAATGCTTAAAACTATAAACAAGCCAAATGAAATTCTTTGAAGGCAACCTTGACAATTGTGTATCCTAAATTCCCTCCACACCAGACTTGTATCTATAGAAGACAAATAATACTCAGTGAAACGTTTCAATAACTTAATTTGATTCTTATTGAAAAAAGCATAAGTTAAACTCTACATTTGAAGTTTGATTTTTCAACTGTTCTTAGGTTGAGGAAACACGAAAGCTTTAAGGAAAGTATTCTATAACTAATTACCTATCACAATCAGGTATAGAAATTGAGCATTAGAAATGAGCCTCCCTGATTATGAGGATTACATTATCTTTGACTTAGTGTTCACCTTATTCATCTTTGAGTAATAACTCAGAATGGTGTTTCTAAAAAGTTTTTTCACGCCTTAAAAAACTAATACGTACATTATAACATCTGATCTTAAATCTACTTCAGCTTATCCTCTGGTGTTCCTTAATCAGATCTCAGGTGCCAAGGTAATAGTGCACGAACCTCGTCTAGGAACAAGTGACAGGATTGTTGTTATATCTGGGACCCCTGACGAAACCCAAGCAGCTCAGAGCCTCCTTCAAGCATTTATCCTCACTGGACAATCTTGACATAATATTTTTGATTGGAATTAGTTTCACAAAGAAGTCACAGTTACTTCTTTTAGCTTCGTTTTCTTTTTACCAAACTGTGTACGCAAATCCTTCACTTCTTTTATGCCAATTCCTCACTTTTGGCATAGGCAATTCAACAATATGTTTCGTTTTCAGTGAACTAATCTGTTTTCTGATAATTTTATTTTCACAACCTATTTTTTATTTTGGCTTTTTGGTTCTCTCCATCTTATCATGTCCTTATCACATTGCACCATTAAACCTTGGAACATTCAACTCAAACAATTGGATGGCAAAACGTCCACTGACATGATGCGCAGACAAACATATACTAAATTGTCTCTGCATCGTGGAACATGTCCCTTCAATGACATCTATACCACATGATAAAAAACATACATTGTGTTATAATCTTGTTGCAGATTTCTATGGGCAACAGAGCATTCCCTAAAAAATGATTTAAACTTGACCAGGAAGGCTAAACTCACTTACATAAGGACATGAAAGAACAAAATCCAAAAGCATATCTGCATTGTAGAACTATCCATCCATCCTTTCCCCCCCTGCAGATGTAGTGTAAATTAATGCAAACCAGAGTCCAAAAGAACGAATGCTTCTTAAATAAGATGAGCATGCTTTTTTTTTTTTTTTTTCTTATTCATGTTGCCATGGGTAAAAACCTTTTCAATTCAAATGGATTGCACTGGAATTATGAAACATCCTTGCTTGAGGACATGAGTGAATGCTGAAATCTGTATATGCATCATATAACATAACCCTGCAACAATATTCTTACATCACACTAACATGTCATCTAGAATCTGCAAATATTCTGTCCGGATGGATGGAGAAATGTATCTGCATTGTAGAACATAACCCAGCAGTAATTTCAATTTCATTCCTTGTTCTGCAATTCAGAATCTGCAAATATTCAGCCCCTAACAGGTTCAGGTTGTCAATTTATTGAAGTGTAATAATAACTTCATCTCAATGCATGCATGGAACCATCTTAACCATGGACTCAGTGGCAGACTAGAAACTTTCTCGAGGGACAGCCAAAGCATATACTTAGCTCATTCATATATGCACATTCATGAAGCTGGTATACATATGTAACCCAAAAAAGAAGAAGAAATTAACATGTACAATGGAAATAGCATTCAAAACCATATGTTAAAAGTTTGTGTTAGTAATTGCCAATAGACTCTATTTATTTGTTTTTGAGTACTTTAGCTAATTTATGTTCTAAGATCATAGGACTGTTCAAATGAGTCAATGCATGCTGTTGCTGCTTTAATGGTATGAGAAGAAACATGAATAAATTCAATACGATGAAAATAAATGTTCAAATTTATATGAATGGAACCCAGCTACAAAGACAAATATATGAATTAAATATGAGCAACAAAGAAATTCAAAAGGGAAATTCCATTTTAATTTGTGTTAATAAACATTGAAGATCACGCATAACATTGGGGGGAAGCTTTGGGACTTTGGGAGGCACCCCAGCTGCCTCCACTTCCCCGCTGATGGTTTTTTAAAAGTCTCCACCTCTGGATAGATGGTATGTAGAGAGTGAAGTTTTGAACCTAGGCAACATCTTAATTTGATTGACCACGAGCTTTTTTGAGTTTGGCAAGTTCAGATGATTAGAAGCAAAATGCTTGTGCAGATCATGATATTTGTACAAAGCAGAAAGAAAAAGATATTTCAGGTGTATATACTATTAATTAATAGGATCTGTTGAGGACAAAGAGTACATCAACTCTTTGAAGATTATTGTTTTGATCACAATTTTGGCACATGACTCAATATTTTCCGAGTGAGGAAGGGCTATGAACTTGGTGGATGTCTCTTTTGTACAAAACCTTCTTTTCTTTTCTTTTATGTGAGAGATGAGAAACACATCTTGGTGCCTAATTTTGTAGATTTTGTTGACGTTTCATTATTCAAATCAATTATCAAAATATACTAAAACGCCTTGCTAAAACATTGGGGTGATCTACAGTAGCACTGGAATTTTATTCCAATTCAGTCCTTAATTTTTTTTCCTTCAATTGCATTGAATCCTAGTTTGTCAAAAATTGTTAAGAGAAGACAAATTCATTGAAAGAGGATCAAAGTGGTCAAACAAGGAGAAACTTGTGGCCAATGTAAAATTGGGTGGAAAGTTCCTTTTCATCCACATACTTTTCTTTTCCTACTTTTATAGTCCTTATAATTTAAAATTTAATTCAAAAGTTCATTTCATATACATTTTAATCCTTGTAAGTGAGAGAGGAGAGAGAGAGTCACTAGGTTTTGGATAAAAAGATCATCAGTTGACATTGATTTTGACCACAAAAATCTTCAATCTTGGTGGCAATGAGTTCCATTCGACAAGGTGAGTTTGATAGTTGTTGTTTTTAACTTTAATCTCACCTAGAAAAACAAATTAGGGTTGAGAGAGAAAATCATTCCTGGTTTGATTGTGTTTTTGAACTATTTTGGAGGGTTTCTGGGTTCATAATTTTTGGAGGTTTTAAAGATTTTTTAGGAGAAAATTGGTTGAAAATGAGTTTTTAGACAAAAAAAAAAGGAAAAAAAATACCTGAATTTCTGGTGGCTAAATTCTTGGAAACCAGATAACAGGTATTTTTTTTATAAATAATTTTGGTATTCCACCATGGAGGAAAGAAAAGAAAAACTAAAATGGCCTAGTGGGCTAGGGCTTTTTTCAAGGGCCTGGGTATGCTAGGTCACTCGTGTCCGAACTTTTTTTTTTCTATAGGTTTTTAAAGTTTTTTAATTTTATTTTTTTATTTTTTTTGTGATTCAAAGGGACAATTTGATAAATAAAAAATGACATTTAAGAGAGAATATGAATAAATAAGGACGAAGAAGTTCAAAACATTTTTTTTAAAAAATCTTATTTCATTAGATATTTGAATTGCTAAACAAGATTTATTTATGTTTCTTTCTCAAGGGGAAAAAAACAGTTATAACAAAATACACAACCTAATATACATGTACAACCAAATTAATAGTTAAATATATATTCAAATTGTTAAAATATAATTATGTCTTGAAAAATAATGTTAGAAAATATTAATCAATATATTTACCACATAAAATATTTGAGCAAAAGATTGAATAAGAAATCGTTGAATTAATTTTTATGCTATGATGACTGATTAAATAGTTTAAGGAATTATAAATAACTCTTACTAATTAAATAGTCTAAGGAATTATAAATAACTCTTAGGTTTCGACCATTTGGTATTTGTATAACATGTTTGGATATTTAATGAATAATTAATTTCATTTTATTTCTTGTCCTCTTTTTTTTTTTAATTTTAGCTTTCAAAGGTTTGTGTTAATTTTTTCTTTAATTTCATTTTTCAATGTCTGTTTGATTTTAAACTGGTCTTTATATTTATTTATCGTGTAACTAAATTAAAAAAAATGTTATCAAACCCATTGGAGTCTATGACCTAAATCACGAGTTTGATGGATTAACCTGAGTCAATTCAATACGTTGTCATCTTAATTTTTTTAAAAAATCATTTTAAATTTTTTCTATTTTCAATTTTTTTTTTATTCGACCCTGACATAGCACAGGGGTAACTACCCACCTAGTAGCTACTGGCAAGGTGCTTTCCTTGCGGTCAGATTTGGACCAAGTTGACAGCATTTTTGGTTAAGAGGAGAAAAATGAATCGATTGAAAATTGGAAAGGATAATGGGGGGAATGACAGTGATGATTTTTCTTTGCGCTAATAGGAAGAGCAGAAAGCAATCCATTCCTTTAGTTGTTGGGTTAGAGGAAGAGGAGATGGGAGAGTGAATATTTGTCAAATTATAGAACGATAAATGTCCCCTCAATTCCCATTTAGATGGATTGAGAATGCAAGGATCTGAAGAAATATATGAATTTATTTTATTTTTTTCTTGAGTATACATGTCTAAACAAACAAGAGGATCACGTCCTTGCCCCTTGTATTCATCTAACCCTTTACACGTTGGTTAGAACCCAAATTTTTTTTATGGGTTGAAGAAGAGGAGAACTACATGATCTTGGAAAGAGAGATCTCTCTTTCTTCCTGAAGAATACATCTGCCTAACTAAATGAAATGAACTTTACACTTTCATGCAAATATATTGTAGATGAAGGAAACCAGAGGTTCATCCAATAATGTCTTAATTGGATTTAGAACAACAATGCTATCCATACAACATGATATTTCACAGAACATGATCTGCTGGAAGCTAACCTATGCACGCTTAATTCTTTACATTATTTACAACCAAAGCAGTTGCTGTTCCTGATGCTGGCAGGGGTGCTGGCTTGAGAATGATTTCAATGTTATCATGGACTCCTTGTAGCAACAATTCACCCTCATATTATAAAACTTTACGCTTCTTTGCCGCTCTTAGTGTACCAACCAGTGCTTCAAATATGTGTGCACACTTATTGTCATTAAACAACACCAAAAGTGACCTACAAAGCAAAAAAAAAAAAAAAAAAAAACAGAGTTTATGGTGGGGCAAAATACTTGATGACAAAACAGCATGTTAAGTTATAATTACAGGAATAGAAAATACAGATTCCAACTTCCTAGGTCTAGTTTCTTGTAATTCAAGATCATGCCTGTTCACAGACTAGTGCATGCTGCATGCACTCAATAGATTTTTCTTAAGCTTGTCTAGGGAAAAGATTTTAATATCCATTACAAAGTGAAGATAAGTTTACTTACAATTTGAACCTTGTCTTGTATGGAGTAATGAATGGAGAATGCCTAACTAGTAAGTCGTTTGCAATGCATTATGTTTTTACTTGAGTATGGTCAGAAAACCTTCAAGAATCTGACACAGATGTTAGGAATCGAACACAGAAATGATCCAGATGAGGTATTTTGTTGTTTCTTTTTATTCTTTTTCTCTCTATTCTAGTGGAGATGTGTGTTATATGGTGTTTCCATACAACTGATTTGGTTTTTGTGAAGCATTTTGTCATGTTGAAATGGCTCGATCAATATGAGAAAGGCATTCAATGCAAGATTGCAAGGATGCTGGGGACCAGCTCTCGGGCACTCTTTTGTAAATGCTTGATATGAAATTATGAAATAAGCAGTCTTTGCAGCAGAAAGAGTAGATTAGTTGAATGCACGAACTACTGATATAGATCACTTTGTAATATCTGAGTAAATGTTAGTCTTTTTTTA